CCCCATGGTCCCCTCCCCACCCCTAATACTTACCAGCTCAGAGTCAGCTGCATCTCCCTGCTGCAGCCACCCGGGGACTGCCTGAATCATCAAAGTTCTCCGAATATTTTCCAAAGGTTGTGGGAGCCTTGAATTGATTCAGACTTTTAAATTGGTCCCCTGATGCAATTTGGATTTAGAGATTCAGCCACCGAATTGGGCCAAACCTCCTCCAAATCGAATCACCACCCAAAGCTTTGCACAGCCGTAGAAGTAACAATCAACAAGGCTAGATCTAACTCCCATTAAAGACCTAGTCACTCTGAAATAGCTTGTCCAATAGATCTTCCAACTACACAGTTGGTCCAATAAGTTATCAGAAAAAATCTTTGCCTCTAAGATAATCATCATAGATAGCAAGGCTTTCAGCTTATGGCTCTAATATCAGTCTAGAAAATCATGTTTAGGTAACACCAAAAAAGAGACTTCCCTGTGGTCATGATGTTCTTGCAATTTCACTCTTATCATCCTATTTTCCTCTGACATCTATGTTTAACAAATGGGACATTTTCCTCCCTTGTTTTTCCTTCTGCTTAGTAAATTGTAGGAATAAAAAAATAGGTAGCCATGGGGCAGCATAATATAAGGTACATAATCCAATAACACTTAGACCATGACCCTTGAGCAATAAATGGGTCTTCCATTTATCACCTGCAGCTCTTCATAGAAAATGTTATCATTTTGTTTTTACTACATGCTTTGGGTTTGTCTTTCCTGCAGCCTTGAATAATTCAATATGTGCACAATCTAACTCTATCACTGTTAACTAATGATTTTTTGAAACAGGGTGCATTTGCCAGAATTCATTTCCAAGCATGTATGTTGTTGCTTTTCAGGTAAAACTAACTGGTCACATTCCTCCTTAACCAGTCAGGACCAAGTGCTACTGGCCTGATCAGAAACAGATGTAGTACCACTAAAGTCAGTTGGATGCTTCACATCATCCTTCATATTAGGCTTGTACATGGAATATCAGGCATTAAATAGCATATTCAGTGAAAAAATGTGGAATGGGTATTCTATTGACACGTACTGATAGCATTCAGAAGAACGTAGTTCATAGTGTGTTTGGTTTCAACATTTTTTCCAAGTACATTTGCTAAAATTTAAAAGAAAATGTTGAGGTTTTTAAGTTATAAGGAAGTCAAAATAGTGAAGTTAGTGACTCCCTATTTTCAGTACTGAGGTATGTTTCTGACAGAAAATACAATGAGAGTGAGAGCAAGCCAAAATTAGTTTCTAAAATCCATCCCATGGCAACTTAAAACTATTAATAATTATTTAATACAATTATGTATAACAGTAGTTCTCAACCTTTACCTAATTCACCAGTATGGTGTTCTGGTTTTACAGTTAGTGGTGGCAAAGCAAGTAAGATATCCTGTTATAGACCTAAGGCAGGGGCAGGCAATTATTTTGGGCAGAGGGCTGCTTAATGAGTTTTGGCAAGCCATCAAGGGCCGCATGACAGGCAGCGAGGGGAAGATAAATATTAATTTTCTAAATGTTTTAGGAGCCCCGCGGGACAGATAGAATGGCCTGGTGGGCCGCATCTTGCCCACCCCTGACCTAAGGGCATGAATTCAAGCTACATGCTAGATTGTTTGACGGCTGCCCCCATTCTACCCAGCTATAAATGTGTATCTTTTCATTTGGGCTAGGGAGTCGGTCATCATGTGTTATCCTACTTATATCTCTCCATCATGTGCCAGACTTCAGAAAGTGGCTTGCTTTAATCATTCTAGCCTAATGATTAGAGATCTACCAAACTTGAGGAGGCAGCTGTCTGATTTCACAAATAGATTATAGGTCCATCTGCCATTTTCAAGAGCTTATTGTGGCTGCACCTCTGGCTGAGGGGCCCTGGTGTACCCACCTCTCATTGCTGATTGGCTACAAGGGCTGTCAGCCCCTGCCCCTTGCCACTGATTGGTTATGAGGGCTGTCTGTCATACAGAGGGGGCTCGTGACGCTGAGAGAGAAAGAAGATAGATACACACAAATCCGTTACAATGGTCCGCAATGGTGGAAGTGGTTCGAAGGAAAGTGTCTCAGTCCATATAGAGTCTCAATGCGGGAGTCCTCTTCGGGTGGAGCGGGGTCATCCATTGCTGAAGAATCTTCTCAAAGTGAAGGTTCAACTGGTCAACCAGGTTTATCTCAAACCGGTTTCAGCCATTTTCAGACTGGTTTATATGCACTGAACATCTGTTCTGTTACAGGTTTAAACCAGTTTCTGATCACTTAAACAGGTTTATGTGTAATGTCTGTCCCTAGCCTAAGTGAATACATGATTCTGTTAACTTATTTTCTAATATGTACAGATTGTGACATTTAAATTCCCCTGAATCATTGGGCTTTATGTGAATGAAAATGCAAACTTCAGCCTCACACACCAGGATTTGTGGCTTCTCCTAAGTCTCACTTGTATCCATTACTGAAGTTGGTGTGTGGAGCAGATGCTTCGCATTCCTTGTGCTATCTAGTGGATCAGTATGCTTGCAGGCCTGCAGGTCTTGCATCCCTTCTTAGACTGCTTCCTCAGTGGAGCCCTATTGTGAGGTATTGCTATGTTAGGTGCCTCACATAGGGTCTCAGCATCATAGAAAATCAGATCTTTGGAGTGTATGTTGAAAAAGAAAGTACTTCTTGGACTGATTGTCATGTGGTGTAAACTAGAGTAGTTCTATTGAGACAGATGGAACTACAATATAACCACCTGATGAGGAATGTTCGCCCTTTTTCCTCGTTCCTAACAAGAAATATCACCTGAAGGTTTCCAGAAAGTTTAGAACTTGTGCCAGTAGTAGGCTTATTTTGAGTTGTGTCAAGATTATCTCTAGTGAGGGTGCCAATCCATGCTATATATAGACCTATCCGGGCAGAGGGCTTTGATACTGTCCTTATGCCTACTAGTGATTTTTTCCCTTAGAAATACATATTTTGGGGTTTTTTGGGGGGGTGGGGGGAAGGGTTGGTGTGTGTGTAATTGAGCCCCTAGATAACTTTTTATTTTTATTTATTTTGTTCTTGTCCTTTAGGTGAAAAGCTCATGAGATTTGGCTATCCAGAAATTCACTTTGATATGAACTTGTCCTACGAGAAGGAGGCTGAGCTGATGCAGTCTCACATGATGGACCAAGCCATCAACAATGCAATCACCTACCTTGGAGCTGAGGCACTTCACCCCCTGATGCAACACACACCAAGCACAATTGCTGAGGTGGCCCCAGTCATCAGCTCAGCTTATGCTCAGGTCTATCATCCTAGTAGGATAGAAAGGCCCACTAGCAGGGAAACAGCTGACAGTCACGAAAACAACATGGATGTCCCTATCTCCCTCATCAGACCAAAGAGTCGACCCCAGGAAAGAGAGGGATCCCCCAGCAATAGCTGCCCAGATTCTACTGACTCAGAAAGCAGCCATGAAGATCGCCAGTCCTACCAAGGAAACTCTGCCTTAAATCCCAAGAGGAAGCAAAGCCCAGCTTATATGAAGGAGGACACCAAGGCTTTGGATGCCACAAAAGCTTCAAAGGGCTCTTTAAAGGATATCTATAAGGTCTTCAATGGAGAAGGGGAGCAGATTAGGGCCTTCAAGTGTGAGCACTGTCGAGTTCTTTTCCTAGATCATGTCATGTACACCATCCATATGGGTTGCCATGGCTATCGGGACCCATTAGAATGCAACATCTGTGGCTATCGAAGCCAGGACCGCTACGAGTTCTCGTCGCACATTGTTCGAGGAGAGCACACATTCCACTAGGCCTTGTCATCCAAAGGGGAATCTTATGAAGTAGAAAAACTGCACATGAAGAAATACTGCACTTACAATCCCACTTTTCCTCAGATGTTGACACACCTTTTGTTGTTGTTGTTGTTGTTGTTGCTGTTGTTTATTATTAACCTTATTTTATGGACCCAACCTCAGTCACTCTGCCCAGTTTAAGAACGGAAAGAAGGAAAACAAGGGATGAGAGAGTTTCTTCTGTTGTTGCTGTCACTTTTGTTTTGGTGGCCTGTCTGATGTTTTCAGTGGGAATTGAAAGGCAGTCCATTTCTGTCACAATTAGTTGTATATCACATCCTATTTTGGGCACTGCTTAACCCTAATAGGTGCTTTAAAGTCAAAAGGAGTTGCCACTCGTTTGTAGATTAACAATTTCAGGCAAATAGGTAGAAACATTTCAGAGGAAAGCTCATTCAACTGTATAGATATGGTGGGGGGTTGGGGAAGGGAGGAGTGGGGAATTTTATTCTGCAGAATGAACAATTATTTTTAAAGTAAAACTGGTTTACTCTGGGGATATAGAAGCATGAATCAAAGTCAATATTCCTTGCAAAATTACTTCCTAAGGTTGGCTGTTTTCATGGGTTCGGTGTTTACTGCCCCTCTGGAATGTATAAATTATGTATGTGTAACACTGTACCACATAACAGCAGTTTAGTTTCATAAGTCTTAGGGACCTCCTGCAGTAAGTTTGAGGACCTGTGTTTTTTATTTTACTTATGAAGCACCTTTTGTTAGAATTGCTGATTTGCTGTTATTCCATAACTATGTGTTGACTCACTGACTTCTTACAGGCTCCCTCATAGCCTTACTTAGCTAATTGCACCCTATGTTTTAAGAAACAGCATTTAGAAATAACGGTTTTAACCTAGCTTCTAGGACAATAGGTAGCCTAGGAGTCTATAAGAGCCTATAGTTTACTCAAGAGGTTCTGCTGCTCTTTTAAAATAATTTGTTTTAAAATTACCAATGTACTAGTAGCGAAGTGTTCTTTAAAAAAAAAATATATATATATATATAAAAATATTTTCTCATTCTGTCATCTTCAGTGTTAACCTCTCAGCAGTAAGACTTACAGCTGGGAAAACACTAGGGTCCGGATCATAAATTGGCATTAATCATCATAGTTCTTTTGACTTTGATGGAAGTAATCCACGCTACATCAAGATCTGGTCCTTGATAACCTCTTTTTCAGTAGATCTTTGGCTTACTGATTTGTGGAATCAGTGACTACCTAGTATTCTTTTCAAATCCTTAATTCCTCTTTGATTTGAGGATAGAAGCATTTGCAAATCTTGATATATGACCTTTGCTCTAGGAGAGTGTAAAACCTATTCAGAGAAACAGCTGTCAATATGATTTAACTTCATTTAGCACTTTGGAAAAATGGGTACTTGAGGTATAGGCACTGAGGTTTGGTTTGAGTTCATATTTGTGAGCTTTACTTGCTGCAAAAAAACAAAACAAAAAGCCAGTACAATCGTCCCATTGAGCTGCAAGCCAGACAGAGAACCATGCAAACAGGGTTTATTTTATTGTTGGTTTTTTTCCCATTCCCAATGCAAGACAGAACCACTAGTCCAATATTCTGTAGGTTAAGTTTCTCCTGAAAAAATAAATGCAACCCCAGTATGATATATTGTCATTTAAACCCAAATCGTCTTGCATCAAACATTGTTGAAAGTGAACCACCAAAATAGAGCCTGAGCCTTAAACATTTACATGAGTGAGTAACTTCCTTCTCATGAAGTCTCATTGAGTTCAATGATGACTATTCACATGAGTAAAGTTACTCAAGTGCTTAAGTGATTGCACGACCAGCCCATAATGAATTCCCATTTGCTCACTTGAATCTGCATATTCTGTGTACATGCCAACTTGCTGTTCATTTGAAGGGGTGCTGTTTCTTCTTATCTTCCCAGACCTGGAGCAATTGAAAGTAGGAGCTGAGTGGTATTGATTGAAATCTTTTTATGGCGACGTACTTGGCAGTTAGAAGCCCTGTTTAGAGAGGATACAGTAGATCATGGCCAGATTACCTGACTACTACTTCCCGGCACTGAAATGCTATTAAGTAGGAGCTGGTAAAGTCTTGCAGTAGCCTATTAATTATAATACAATATGGATAGAAATGCTGCTTTATGTAATATGAGAGCTATCAAGGCTGGGAATACAGGGACTTTAGAGAAACAGATCTAAAGACTTATTCCCAACATTGTTCTTAGCTTCCTTGTATGCCTTTCTTAGTTAGGATACAGATGAAGCTTGGGCAAAATCTTAACTGCCCATGTTCCTTCCTCCCTGATTTGTGCCTGGCATGATCAAGGTAGCTTACACCCTGCTGATGACTTCTAAACTACTTATTTGATTCCAAAGGTAGCTGTCAAAGACCACGTACTCCTGGTGCTGATGGGAAGAGAAGGAAACTGCATTTGGACAGTGAAATGAAAGAGGATCCCTTCCTCTGCTCAGTTGTACTCCATGGGGCTATGAATGAATTTTTTTTTTTGTGTTAAGTAAAGGATTGGGGGAATGCTGAATTCTGTGACACCTACTTGAGAACCCATGGAGATCTCCTTGCTGAAAGGGGTGGAAGGGAACAGGGACAAGAAGTGGCACTGATCAGTTCAACATAGTTTCCTGGTGTTTCCCTTCCATCTCTTTCACAGTCTATGGAGGGCAGGTTTTGTAGGCAACCCTAATGATACAATCTCCAGAAGCAGCCATGTTCCCATTGTGTAGAGAGGCAGCGGTACATGTAGGAGACAGTCCCAGGCTGATATAAGTTTAGGAGAAAGCTCACTAAGTTTCCTCATCTTACGCCGTTCTTTTGTGGAGAGAGGAACATCTGGGCCAGATCAGGATATAAGGCACATCAGACTGGGCGTGTCTACACATGCATTCATGCACTTTTCTTAATGCACATTAAATTTACTGTCTCCAGTATGAGGTACTAAATAAATGTGCATTAGGCTGTGCTAATTTGCAGTAGCGCAAGCACACTCTTTTTTAGGTGATGCTTAATGTGTAGTAGCTTATTCTACTGCACATTAGCATGGATTTTTACGTGCCGCTTTAATTTGCAGTAAAATAGGCTACTGTGCATTAAAACGCACAAGTACATGCCCCCACTGTTCACCAGCTACAAGATCTCTTTCCTTTTAAAGGTGATCACACATTGATTTCAGCTGTAGGAGAGTGGTCCCCATATAGGAGGTTTCATGGGGCTCAAGGCATTAACAAAATGCCTACCTGAGCCTAGGAGAAAGAGGGAATCCAGCCCATTGTTGCACTTCTAAGAGAGTGCAATGTGTGCTCCACCCAATGGCCAGTGTGAAGACTGAAGTGGAACACAGCCACTTCAGATGTCTAGCACAAGGACACAAATATGCACTAGAGCCTGTGAGTGCATGCACAGGATATGAAAAAAGGGGGAATTTTTGTAGGTACCCATGCAAAAACTTACTAGAATGTGACCCACAGTTAATGGTACATTTTTTCATTAATGATTCATTCTCCCTTAGGGAATGTTCAATAGCAATTTGAAAAATCAGACTCAAAGACCTCATGTTTTTATTGTTAACTTTAGTTAAGCTAACACTTTTGTTCAGTTTCCAGCCAACGACATATTATGTATTGTGCTACTAAATAAATACTGGAAAGACCAAGGCAGCTCAGTGGTGGTAGTCCTGAGTGCAACCATTATGGGGAAAGCTAATTAAGTAGAGGCTGGCAGGTTCACAAAACTAGCCTTGTGGACAGCAGTTTATTCCCCTAATACCACACTGAGGACCAGAATAGGTACAGCAAGATTTTAGTCATTGCCTTTAGATGTTTGCATTTCCTGTCTAAGTCTAAGCAAGGGAGTTTAGAGGCACGCTAATTTTTCATCATTTCTATCTTTCTTAAAGCTCACCAAAATGTGTCTTCTCTAAAAGAAGTGGAAAGGATTTAGGTTCATTTTAAGTTTGGGGAAAATGTTAGAGTGGATATTATGTTAGCATAAGCAGTTCATGCATCCTACTTGGGATTTACAGCAGTGAGAGTTGTTCAGAGAAAACAAGATAAATCCAGATTCTGCAAGTTGGTTGTTGCAGATCACCCAGTGAGGCTGCAGGATTTGGACCTTGGAAGATATATTTGTCTCACTTGCTGTTTGCAGATTTTTAAGAGAAGCTGTTGAATTTGTCACATGTATTAATTATTCATAGTAATCTACTAAAAAAAATCAGCAGGTAGTTTTGGGTCCATTAAACATTTACTAGCAGTGTATTCCTTTATTTGAAAATTTGTTATTTCAGAGTTACCTTGTGTATCTAATCAAAACTATCCAAGTTATGTTTAACTCTTGGAATCAATTTCAAGTCAAATACTTTTTTGTTTACAAATTAAGAATTAGCTTCCTATGGGCATTTCCCCAGCATTCAAAATAGCTGTTTCCATAAACTGTCCTGCCAGTAAGCTTTTGCACTCCATTTTAAGGCATAAAGCAAGATTTGGTCTATACTGGTGTAACTCCATTTATGTAAATAGAGATGCAGCTGCTTAGTTCTAGTCTGATATGACCCGTAGTCTCAGAGCTGTGTATCTATCATTAAGACTAATGAGTTTTACAGCCAATTTTTTTTTTTTGCATTGAGTTAGGAATGTATTAGGAATGCACAGAGAAATATATAGGATATTACAGTAAAACCAGCTCTTTGAGAAGTAATTAATGGGATTAAAGCAACCGCATTCTGCTTAAAAAGTGCTTCCATCAATGAAGCAAAATGAATGGTGTCTAAGCATCCTCTCTATTTAGAGAGAGAACGAGACTCTTTTGTAATTCAGCTTGTTTCTTCTCTGTAGTAGGTCTCCCATTTTAGGGTACAAATCAAAAATTGTCCCTGTATCAATAGAGTTTATATATCACAGACAAAGACATTCACAATTTTTCTTATTCAAAATTTGCTGTTTTACTATGTATTTTGCCAGCTTGAGGCAGGAAAGCAAATTCAGCCACTGAGCAAAATTCAACCATTCAAAACTTGGGGACAATAGGGGGACTTAAATGGCATGTCTGTCTTGGCCCTCTAGATGTTCCATAAGGATGCACATTAAAAGAGGCCACAAAATAACAAGCTGCTTCTACCTCCAAAAAACCAGTTTATGCTGATTTGCCTAATGAAGTTAGTGACTTCAACTAAGGACCTAAGTAGATTGCGAATTATAAAGGTCCTCAGCTAGTTAACTTGCTTTTACCTCACTACTTTGAAGCAACTATTTCGTGTCATTTCATTAAGATGTGCATTGGGAAGAAGGGTAACATTGTTAGCAAAGCAAAGATAGTCTTGAAAAAGTGAGATGAAACTGGCTTTGGCTCAGTTGAATTGTATGTTAATTTTATATAGTCTTATTTAAAAACAATTAAAGCCAGTGATGATATGCAGTATAGAGCAGCTGGAGATTATGTGCATTTATTAGCACATTTGAAGTATTATAAACAATTACAAGCAAACGACAGTTGTCAAGCTAAATAATCAAATTGCGTTCTGAGATGCTTTGTCGCTTTTATCATGTTTGTTCACTTACGGTCTTGTCCAACGCTAACTGAAGACAGTTGAAAGGACTGAGGTCCATATGCTTCAGTCCAAGTAAACATTTTGGCACCCACCTACTTTCACACACCTAAGTACTCCCAGCAACCTCATTGGGACTGCTGAGGAACTTCTGTAAGCATGTCCTTTTTACTCCTCTCTTAACTGTATCAGAGCCTTACTAGCTAATTTGCAAAGTTCAGCAGCTTACATTGAGTCTCATCACTCATAAATTTTGAAAGTTCAAAATTCTCCTAAATTTATGCATTAGCCTTAAACCCAAATTCTGAGTAGTACATACTGGTAGACTGTCTTTATATCATTATTCAGAAGTAAAATATGGAGGTCCTCTGCAA